CCCCAAAACCCCAAAACCCCAGCAATCTATAATAGTAAATAATGTGAAGGTTAAATAGTTGAAATGAGTGTTAAAATTAAAAATTAGCAATCATTTATTATTTTGTATTTTATAGTTAAGTGAGTGATATGGAGTCTCATTTAAATGGCTTGAGTGATAAGAAATCTACTGACAAATCTACTCCCTTGTCAGACTAGATTAATAATAACCTTTAAGTATGTTAATGAATAAGTTATTCTGATTGATACCAATAATCAGTCTTTACCATAATTATTGATCTTCTAATGGAATACAGTCTTAACTTTTATGTTTAGGAGTAAGATAAAAAGTCTTAACATAAGTCGTCCACCACCAAAACCAATACCGCTACCAACCCCAATGCCGGTGATTAAGTAATCACAAAAACCACAGGCTATTCTGCTTCATAAGGTACCACTTCAAATTTCTCTAACCACTCTGAATAGCCTAATTGCTGTCAAAACGTACCTATAAAGAGGATCTAATGAAGTCCTCAACAGGCAAGTAGTCTTCTCAAAAGGCTGAGCTGGAAGAGGGCGAAGAAGGTGAAGATTTTGAGGACGGTGAGTATGTTGAAGGCGACGAAGGGCATCAAGAAAACAAGACTGGGAACGGTAATTAATCAGACTATGACTCAGCAGAAGAGATCATAAAGCAAAACCTAAGGACTCAAAGTAAGTTTTCTTTCATGATACATATCTGGGCATCATTTGCTTCATGCTCTTTGCCATTAATTATATACTATAATTCTATTCCTTAACACAAATATTTACTTAGCAAATACTACAGGCAATTATAAAATACCAAAGTATTCCAAGCTAAAAGGAAAATCAGGAGAGTAGTATTAAATTGTCCAGCAATCATCTTATGATTCTAACAGTGATTCCTACTCTTCGAATTCGTCAGGAAATAACAACAACAAAAAGTAAAGAGCCAATCAAAATGCCAAATCTAATTTCAATTAAAAAGGCTTTAAATAAAACAATCAACACTTCTAACAAAACTAACTATAAAACTAGTAATAGTAGTTTTAGCATCAATTCAAGTAATAGAATCAATTTTAAAAGGGCTAAAAGTTTGGTTAACAATAAAATTTCTAATAGCAGAATTTAAACTAAAAAAAGAAGTTTAATTAGCAGAATTAATAGCAACAAAATAAGCAGAAGCCTGGACTTGGAGGGAAAAAGAATATCTAGTAGCAATAACAAGATTAGTTTTACACTACAAGATAAGGTAAGAGGTTCAAACCAAATTAGGCTGGAGGCTAAAATGGCCCTGTGCATGGCACAACCTACATGAATAGCAAGCTTTGCAAGTACATTGTTACTAATACTTGTCATAGAGGAGCAGATTGTGATTATTCTCATGATTTGCATCTATTCCCGTGCAAGTATCTTCATGGCACTGGGTTCTGCGAAAAAGGTCAAGGCTGCAAGTTCAGTCATAAACTGCTGGCCAATGAAGAGATCTAGAAGTTTATGCAAGAGAATGAGGAATTCCTTATGGAGATTAGGCAAAAGCAAGGAAAGACTAATCTCTCAGATTACTTTGAAAGATATATCAAGAATAAGGAAATGATGTAAAATGGGCAACAAAAGATTCCTGATCATGCAATGATCTCTCCAGGTTTGATGATGATACCAGAAAATAGCCACATGCAAAACAATCCTTTACTAGGGTTAAACTTAATGTAAAATCAACCTAATTAGTTAAGGACTAACAATATTGGTGGATTTGGGTCGTCCTAGTTACTAAATTAAGGTCAAGGCTAATAGTAATTTTAGTCATAAAATTTAGTAAGCCAAATTTAGGGCTTGCTTGAGGTACCAGACTTAAAGAAGTTACTCCAGCCCTAGACATAAAATATACTTCCAGGAGCATTAAATATTGGTTAATAGTAGTAACTCTAGCCTTAGAATTAGATTCTTAATTAATTGCTCTAGCAAACTACCTAGCCAGCATTGAACAATCAAACAAACATTTTATAAGCATTGTTGGGATAGAACTAGTAGCCTCAAATTCAGCAGTAATAAATTCAACAATAGAACAGTCAAGTTTAATAGCTATTATCTCTACTGGGCTAAAATCAGCAAGCAAACTAGCAACAGCAGTAACAACAGTAATAACCAATAGCTGCTGCATTATAAAGCTTACTAATGCCTCAGAATTAGGCTTAGTTGTAAACTAATAGTCTAGCTGCAGCTTTATAGGATCCTAGATCTTAACAGTAAATATAGGCAGCTTAATTATTGCAGCAGTTAAATCCTGGTAATAATCTTTTATCTAATGACATTCAGCAGTAGACTGCTAATGTCTTAAATAATCTAATGAAATCAATTGCGCCTGCTTAATAGCAAATTCAATAATAGACTCTTACCTAGTTGAACCAACTTAACCCAGTTCAAAATTTACTTAACTCATTGCAATAAGCTAGCATGTTGCCAACAAATAATTAGACTAACAACTAAAATCAACTTCCTCAAATGAACATGCAGTAACCCTAGCTATTTAACCAGTAATTACTTCAAACTTAGTTTGGTTCTGACTAGCTACTAACCCAACTATAAGGAGCTGGAATGGTATAATAGCATCAACAATTACTGAACCCCTAACTAAATAATATTACTTTAGGTGTAAGTAACCAAATGAAAAATCATGGATCCAACCAACAACAACTTTCAAACAATGAGGTTTATAATCCTTATGATCCTAGGAAAAAGGCTGTTGAAAAAAAATCATAGGTTGCAAGAGATCTCGAAAATCTCTATAACAAGCTTTAACAGAACAAAGAAGCATCACTCTAGAGATCCCTTAGTAAGGTTTCAGAGCCTGATAACTCAGAGTCAAACTAAGATTCAATTGCAAAGGACAATGCCAAATCTTCACAACAGTCAAAAGTTGAATAGAAAAAGCAAACTTTCAAAAGCAACGATGATGCTAGTAGCAGTGAAGAAGGTGGATTTGAAGCAAAGTCTAGAAAGGATAGTGGAAAAAAAGAAGAGGGTGAAATGCTTTAGAAAGTGGAAAACTAAGAGGAATTTTTTAATACTGGAAAGAAACTTCAAACAGAGCAAGCCAAGCAAAGTCTGAAAGACAAGCTAGCGTTATCTGGAATCATTAGGAAAAATTGAGAGAAAAAAAAATACTAGAATTAAATACTAATTATCTTAAAAAATTAGGAAAAATAATCTTACAGTATTCTTATCATAATTCAGTCAGATGGGGTTTTGGGGTTTTGGGGGTGTACCATCCCTTGATCAAGTTAA